GCTGCTCTTGTGCAGAACTAAACGTAGCATAAGTGAATGAGAACATTGGCAGCCTTTTCTCCCCTGAAAGTAGAAGTGTACTCTGCTGATGTATGGGGCTGTCTAGACCCAGACCATTACGTTCTCCTTTAAACTTTTTAATTGGAGGCATAGTAAAATGAGAAATACTTGTAGCAGAACTACCTGGGTTGCTTTCAAATCAATTCAAGCTTGACAGACAAATCTGATTTTCAGAGGTGCTTTGACAGTGGTGTCATTTTGTTTTTTAATAGCCATATACAAATCACAAGAAAAATTATAGTTTGTTTACACTATGTATTCCAGAAGCAATTATGCAAAATTTTATTTTTGGGAGTAGATCAAAACGCTTCTGATGCATTGCATTACCTAACTATGAACGTTAGTTGGCATGTTTTCAAACAAGATGGAAAGCCTCTTCGGGAAGAAAAAGAGGAAAACCTTTGCCAGACAAGAGAGATACTACAGATCACTCTACCCATTATAGAAATGGGTGAGCAAATGCCTACTTAACACAAGTAGTCAACCACAGATATATAATTGTGTCTAGAGCATCATGGGTGTTCACAAATTTTGTGTGAATAAATTAAAAATTAATTTCATTGATTGAGCTATTTCCTCCACAAATTTATGTGAATATTCACCAAGAACAAAGGACAGTCTTCTATAAAGCTGTCTTCTAGGTTTTTCCTGGATGTTTCAGCCATCCTGGAATTTCCTGTAACAATTTACCATGTCTTTTACAAAAGCAGATACAAATACTTCCATCTCAAAATGAGGAATGCAAGTTAACCTCTACATTTCATATGTTCTCTGTCCTTACCAAGCAATAAAAACAGTATTCAAGCTGCCAGGACAGGACCCTGCCCTGATGCAGTAACGTAACCAAGCTGTACCTGAGTTTGGTCTCAGTCAATGCTCCCTCTAAGCTGTTGAGTCTTGTGAGCAAAAATTCGACTTTGTGAGCTACTGGCATTAAAGTTGTGAGCGAGCAATTTGCCTACTGCATAAATTAGTTTGCTCTGGAGCCATCCTTCCTGAGCTAAGACAAAAAATGTGTTAGCTGGAGGCTAAAAAACTGTGAGCTAGTTTACACTAACTCAGCTTAGAGGGAACACTGGTCTCAGAAATTCCCTAACACACAACAATAAAGCAAAATAAAGCTTTATTAAAAAAAACATTAAGAAAAAAGGTTTAAAAGCAAGGCATACAGTTTTGCAGCAATCAAATGCACAAGAACACAATAAAGCTATCTAGCTACCTCTTACTGAAGTCCTAGCACAGCACGGCTGGCTCTGGAAGCAAAGAGTTCTTCTTGGCAGCATGGAAGCATGAAAAAGAAAGGGTAAGGCCTAAGGATAACACCTCTGCTCACTGACTACTTATATAAAAAAACTGCAGGCCATAGCCTCCTGACCTTCTCAACCAATCACTGGACACTGTCCATGGAATCTTCCAGGTGAGAGTGAGTCCCCCCCCCCAATAAACAATCCACAGCTGAACAAAGTGAGCTCAATTAGCAGGCCTGGATGGATGGCCTTGCCAAATATCTGCCAGTGTAGGAGTTACCCGGCACCGACAGTACATCAGGAAACTAAGCAGAACAGTGGGGGGGGGGGGGGGGGGGGGGGGGAGACAGCATAGCTTCCACTGGAACAGACTAGAAAATTCTCTTAAGATGTTCTCTGTCTTGACACAATCATGGCCGTTTCTGATCCTGAAATCAGTATCAACCATCCTGCTGAGAAGCAAAACTGATGTTCAAGCATTGTGTAAGATTTAAGCATTCAACTTAAAAGTAAAATGTAAACTAGCCTGCAAAACAAGAAAATGCTTAAGTTCTTAAACACTTACTCATTCTTTTGACAGATATAGTAGTATCACTAGTCATTTCCAGCTTAGTCACTTAAATTACTGAAATACTTCTTTTAAGATATGAAAAGGATTTTATTAGCACAGCAAATCAGGAATACAAACATTCAGTTACATATTTCAAATTAGCTCCGGACAGTTAATAAGCAGATCTGTCTGTTTGTTCAGGAAGTGTTCAGGCAGCATGCTGGGGAAGACAATATACAATAACTAGATAAAAGTTACAATGTGAGGGGAAAAACCTGCATAAATGATAGTTGCCAATTTGCTTGGTCTAACTTAATTGGCTTCTATTTTAATGTGCTTAGGCATTCTCATTATAAAATCAGGATGTTTGCATTAGTAAAAATTGAACGTAATCAGATAAAAGTCTAGGTTGTAGCAAAATATTTTATCATTTTCACAATATTGTACAGATAGAGAATCACTGAATCATGGGATTTGTCTAAGGAATTATAGCACCTAACAGCTTAATCATAAACCACATACACCGGCATATCACCAATGATGGTCCAGGACCACATACCTAGTTGGTGTCTATTATCTTGTCAGTAAGGAAATGCCAAAGGATCCAGCTCCAAGAAGGACACTGCAGCATGAAACTCTACAAGGAGACTGCCCATACTCACCAATCACAGAGCAGAATGCTAACAATGGGTCTATGCCAGCCATATACAGAAGCAGCCAACCAAATGCATGGTAATGCTGGCACGTGTCACCCTGCCCCCATGGACACAAAGAGCACATCAAGGGAAGGAATGTAGGAAACAATGTTCTCTTCTATAGGGAGCACCATGTAACTACCACTCTGTGATTTCTGCAGATGGTAAACGAATCCCAACTTGCAAACGTGTTCCCTTTTGACCAGTGGATACAAAGGGAAGGAAGTCCAATCCTACCTCTCCTGCTAACTTAGCAGAGGGAACCCTGTCAGAAAGACCATGGCCTCTCTCAGACAAAGGATCTGGTCCTAGGAGTGAAGAATGTCCTAGTGAGCAGTCCTCAGAAGAGAAGAGATTGGATTTATACCAGAAAGCTCTCTTGAGAACTGCCCTTGAAAGAACAGCTCTGAAAGAACTTATGACTGACCCAAAGTCACACCAGCCACTGCATGTGGAGGAATGGGGAATCAAACCCGGTTCTCCCAGATTAGATTCCGCGTTCTTAACCACTACACCAAACTGGCTCTCCAAGACAAGAGGGACGAACACTAGGGCACCTAAAGCATTCACAGTTATTCTGTCATTTTCCCAATACCTCACAGGAGAAAAACATTCATGTGAAAAACAGGAGTGATGGGGTTCAACCCCACTAAGGGCGAAACCATCAATAAGGCAAAACTCACTTTGGCCTGTAGCAAAAATAGGAGACAGAACTCGAACCCACACCTCACACACGACAGATCAATCCTCTAAACAAAGACACATGCAGAAAAAAAGATACAAATTACAAGACACTTGGAATCCTCCATTCCTAACGCCAAAACCAGAACTATATATCAGACCAGAAAAGCCTACCAAGACAGACATAGCACTGTGAACAACGAACTTAGAATGTCTGTGGTCCCTGGTTCAACGGCTTCATGGGGCTAGGTACCAAACAGCCCTAAGAATCCAAGCCACAGCTAAGATTTGTCACAGAGCCAATTAACTGGAAGGCTGCTCAATGCTCCATCATTTTACTTAGCACCTTCCCATGGAGCTTGCCTTCTGCAGCATTCTTGGTGGGGGGATTTTTGTACTTGTGTGTGTGTGTATGCACGCCCATGCCTGGAAGTCATGGCAACCTCTGGCGACTCCTACTGGAGTCATGTAGACTGTGTGGTTTATCACATATAACAGACAGCAGGAAGATTGTGCTAATAGGCTGCTCCGGACTCCAATGTTTTGCTTAGTAATTTCCCGTGAAGCCTGCCTTTGCCTTGACAAAGCACAACTGTGCAGGCATGCAAACAACAGAGTCCCAATGCTGAATGCAGCCACGATACTAAAAGTAGAGAATGGGTATAGATTGGGAGGGGGCTGACCACGGGAATGGATTTGAGCACTATCAAGCTCAACATCAGGAGCACTGTTCTGAATGGTAGTCAGATAAAAGAGATTGCTAACTTAGTGTACCTTCAAAAGCTGAACAAACAGACTGCAGTATCACAGTTGCCCCTAACACTCTATGCCCATGAGTGGGACAACTGCATTGATCAAACAATTGTCTGTCAAGCAGCTTCTGGTGCCACAGGAACCAAACTAGAAGAAGATTGTTGGCAACCCCACAGCAGAACAGTTAGGAACAGTCACGTTGGATGTCTGTTAAGGTGGCTGGCTCTGCAACATGAACAGGATCAATCCTGGTCTCTACCCAGTTGGAAGGCTACCTGCAAACAGCAAAGAGACACAAGGCCAGTAACAGCAGCAACAGACAGCAAGTGGGCTCAAGCACTATGCACATGTGCTCTTCTAGTTCCCGTATCTACCCACCCCCAATGGCATTCTCACACTTTCAGCTGGATCCAGTGCAAGGATAGCAGATTTTCCCCACTTCTCGCCAATGCCCCCTCTAAGCTGTGGAGTCTTGTGAGCAAAAATTCTACTTTGTGAGCCACTGGCATTTAATTTGTGAGTTGATGATTTGGCTACTGCATAAATTAGTTTGCTCTGGAGCCATCCTTCCTAAGATAAGATAAAAATCTGTAAGCTGGAGACTAAAAAACTGTGCGCTAGCTCACACTAAATCAGCTTAGAGGGAACACTGCTTCTCTCCCCCCAGCAATGCTTACCAGTCATAAGAAAATCTATTCCCAGGGTTGCAAGATCAACATGGACTAACAGCCACATAAACTATTGGTCCAAAGTGAGGAGAAACTGGTCCTCTGCTGACAGAAGAGGCAAGGACAATGATTTCATCCATCTCCCCCCTCTTATCGCAGCCCCTTCATCCACAAACCCAGGAATACATCTTCCCAGGGTGAGAGAGTACTACTGACTGAAGGGAAAGCAGGAAAGATCCATAACCATCAGAACCGTCTTCTGACAGATCACTGTTTCAGACACAAAGGGATTCCCCGGTTGAGGGAGACTGGGACAGTACTTACTTGTAGGGAGTTGTACTGGAACTCTGTGTGCCGTTTTTGTTTGGGCTGCTCTGTAGGGCTCTTGTTCTGTAAGGCAAATTAGGTTATAATTGCTGGGCAGCAGTAAGCAACGGTCGGAGTAGCTGGGAGTTGTGTTCCCCGTTTACCTTACTTGCATAAGCAGTTACACAGGCATGACATCACACCAACAACGTGGTCACAATGTGCTAGCCTGTCCTGGGGGGAGGAGGGCCTTTCTACACTGTACATACTTACTACTAGCAACTTTGAGGGGGGGGGGGAATTGCTGATCCATTACAAAGTAGTATAAATTTGGGGGCAGAAAAGGAGGAGACATTTGCAGTACTCTACATATGAAGTAGGGGATTCCCCTCCCTTACTTACCTATGCTGGGTGCATTATCCTTGCATCTGCAGTTGGAGGAGTAAAGGTCCAGAATGTTCCAAAAAGGAATATCTGCAAGGACTCTGAACAAACATAGGTTAGCAACACACTGTAAAAATGTTTGTTCTCCTCCTTGGTTGTTTGTGCAACATGCTTGTTTTTGTTCAACATGTCCTTTCTCTGAAGTTACCATCAACAAATTCCCCCCATTTGTGTTCTCAATGTGTACAACAACGAAGGGTGTTCTTTTTTTGGGGGGGGGGGGAATTGGATGAAAGTGGAAAAACTAATCACTGAACTACCATGACCCTACTAAAGACAAGAGCATACCCAGTAGTTTTCTGATAACTGGGAGGGTTGTTCCTAAAACAGAATGAATTTTTAAAAATTTGTTAATAAGGACTCTTTAAAAGCTTTTTAAAAAACCCACAAAATTTGAATGCTACTGTATCGAACCTCTTAACACTGACTCAGGATCTCCAGTTAGATTGAGTAAAGGCTGTAAAGGCTGTTTTTCAATAAAAAAAGAGTAGGGGGGGAATTAGACTTCAGAGCTTAATGACTGTTTACACATTCACATGCTGTATTTGTTACTCTGGACTTCCTCCTAGATCTAAAAACTAGCAAATCTACAAGGGCAAGGATCCAAGGATACACTATTCTATACTGCACTAAATCCATATAAGTAATCTTGTGCTATTTTATACCCGAGCTCTGCAATGTGCTCAGTTTCAAATTATGAATATTTATGAGTCTACCAAACCAATAGCATGGACATTTACTTTCTGTCTCATGGGAAAATACTACTTTGCCCAGACTACCAACTCTTACATTTACAGCCCAAGCCTATGCATGTTTACTGAGAAAAAACTCCCACTTTGTTCAATGTATCTTACTTTAAGGCTAAGGCAGGGAATCTTCTGCATACTGAAGCAAGTAATCTTGCTTAGTCTTCTTCAATGTCTACAGAAAACCAAGAAGAAACATCTCAGTGGTGCAAAAAACATGCAACTCTTGTGACCAAAGATTTAGGATTATGTTCTTGGGTTGTGTAAATACTCTGATTGCAAACTAGTGTGTTTTTGTTGGTGTAGCAACCATTAAAATGAAGGCTTGTTCAGAAAATGTATTAACTTAAAAATGGAAAACTGCATTTAAGGGTCTTTCCCCCCTTGCTGATTAAATCAATCCATCCTGTCCCAAAACAATCAATAAAGTTTCTCGAATGATACAAACTGACTACAGTGCCACTACTTATCAAACTGACTGCTAGAATCCATTAGCCCCTATGGGAGCTTTGAAAGCAGGGGGGGTTCTGTAGAAGTCTGCCACGCAAGCAACATCAGTGTTTTGAAATAGACAGACCTTGTAGCACCCTCAGCTTGTCTCTTCAGACTTCCATGCTCTTTACCTCTTAGCCACTAGTAAACATTGCCATTCAAGTCACTATTTATCTGCTAGCCTCATAGCTTACCTGTACATCCCTTTCCTTCCAACAATCTGTATTGTGAAGATGGTCAACTAAAAACAGGACAAGTAAAGTTCTCCCTCCCTAGACTGTTGTTTGGAGCACTTCTCTTCCCCACTGTTTGGAAATCTGGTCAGCTGAGCATCTACCCCACCTCCTTTCAGGTACATGAAAAAGCCAAAGACTCTTAACGGTAGCTCATTGCCTACAGTTATGTTCACCCTTATTCTCAGAGCTTAGACTGGTGTTTGGGCTGGCATCTATAGAGTAGAGAGGAGCCTGTCCCAAACCACCAAGAAAGGGGATGCGTGGGAGCAGATGGAGTTGACACCTGTTGAGGTGATATTTTAGAGTTTCAGCTCTGGATCCACATTACAAAGAAAAGCACTTTAAAGCTTTACGTAAATAAATACAGACTTCAGCAAGACACTGAGGAAGCAAAAACACCCCAGTACAAGGGCCCAGACAGAACGTTAGTCCCATATACTCAGCTTTTGCATCCCATTTGTGCGAGATTCCTGTCATACAGACACCACACTAGAGGGTGCAGTCTGGATTAAAAACTTTATGCCATAATGCAGGAAATCCTCCGCTACTATTGTAGGCGCCAAATATCTCCTTTAAACCCGCCTCCACTAAATAATTGTTGGGAGTCTGCTACTATCTTTTCAGTACCCCACTGGCTACAATCCTTACATTACTTGGAATTCTACACATTTGCTTGTTAGGCAAATACCACAAGGCATGCATTATTATTCCACTACTTGCGCAACATTGGTGCAAACAAATCAGGCCTTCAAGTCTTGTCCTTCTTTTCAGTCCAGCAGGGAGGGAAAGTAAAGCACAGTGTTCTCTGGAGACGGCAGTAGTCCCCTTTCATGTCAGATCATAAATACTCTTAGGTACAACACAAACACTTCATTCCCTTTCTTCATGGAACTAGATTAAGGGTTGCCACCCCCACCCTTGCTAAGCCCATGGAAGTTGAATTTGGAGAGAGGGTAGTGAGTGCTACCACAAAATGGCTGCTATGGATGGTGCTACAGTAAAAAAATACTAAAAGGTTCCTTAAAATGTTGGGAGATTTCAAATCAATTGTTATCCTGTAATGGGTTGCTTTCCATTTAGACCCTCCACGCAGACGGGCCGTAGTTTGAGGACCCCTGCTCCACGCAAATGCAACAGCAATTCCTCTATGTCTTCCAAAGCACCTCCTGCTCCAATGGAGTGGAGGAAAGCCAGGATTGGTTCTTTCCTTCGAGGAAAAGAAATGGGAATATTTTTCAGTGTGCAGCCACAGGAAGAGAAAGCCAAGCCCATAAATAGAAAAATGTTCATGGCCAAACAAAGAATACATTGATGTGACATACTTGCCTGAGATAAGTTCAGTGCTTCACTAGTTAGCTGCTAAGAAAACATCAGAAGTTCTTCTTACCCAGCTCCATTAAAGGCTTTGGATTTTATCCCCAAAACTCATGAAGCAGAAAGGCTCCAAGAACCACCTTTGCAAGTACTACACTGAAAATGGGGTTGTCAACCAACTACTGGGGGGGGGGAGAGATACCTTTTCCCTTTAACAGAGCTTGAGCATATCATTTACCAGATGTTATCTACCTCCATGACATGAACATACTTCGGCAGCTTATTTCCACACATTAAGTTCCAGTTAAAGGGACAAGGCATTTTTTCTTCAGATTGTGAGAATCATTGGACTAGATACTTTATATTGGCAGCTGGGTCAAAACCATTCATTTGAAGCACTGTTTAGCTCTTAATGAAAACTCTGTCTTCTTAAATAAGGTGACATTCATTTTTTAATCTTACAGCAAAAGGATCCAAATATGAGTGAAACAGAAATTGTATGGTTATCACTCCTCCTATTTTAGACATTCAAGTACAGGTTTATTAAATACATCCAGGAGCTAGTCAGCGGAACAAAGATGTTTTTTTAAAAAAGAATAAATGCAAGAACCAAAGCACCGCTTTTTAAAAGTTTGAACATGCTTTCCCATAAAATCAGAGAGTCAATCACATACAAACATCTGTCTTCTTCAGGATATCCATAATCAATTACTGCCACAGCAAAATGTGCCACATCTTTATTCCCTCAGTATAGGACTTTTAAACAAAACGTTTGACTTTCTCACAGAATTGTTGCAAGGGTAAATAGGGCTGTTATACCAGCAAATTGTAATTATTGTTTCATATGTTTTCATCCAGTTCTCAAGTCAATTGTTTCCCAAAGTAATAACAGCAGCTAACCAAAATAAGAGCAGTAACACAACAATCACAATACTAGATCTGCCAAAGTTGTGTGAATGTGTATCTTGTATTCTACTGTGTATCTTGTGTTCTACTGAACAGGCCCTTTCCTTTACCAAACAAGTATCTTCCATTTTTTAAAACGGCGCCTAATACCAAACTTTGTATGGAAGCACATACAAAACAATAATAAGCAAGGAAATATCATTAGGAGTTAATGGCAATGTAAGTTCCCGACGCTAAGGTTTGGATTTGCAACTGTGAAGCACCCAGTACAGGATGTTGGGTTTTATGAGACTAACTGAGAATACAATTCATATTGACAAAGGTCTACTGGAAATGATCGGCAAGAGTGAGAGATCCGCGGGGCGGGGAAAGGGAAGAGAGGGAAAGGGGGGGGGGGAGTGTATCCAGGCTTCGGATGCCGGAGGCGAAAGCTTGTATCAGAGAAAGCACACTCACACCCCGGGCCAAGGCAACAGTGGAGACTCCAAAGCTCCCAGTACGACATTTTACTCCAGGGAAATTCAATAGACTTAATGTAGACCACAATGCCTAGGTAACGGGGCTTGAAATCACTAAGAGAAAGAACTGAGAATACGCTTCTGTTCATTACGGGGTGAGGCGCAAAAGAACAGCTGCATCTCCTTCTCGGGATTCATGGCGGGAAATCCTACAACCTCCCCCCACAGTATCTTGCGTTCAATTCCACCATGGAGGAATGCTACATACTCCAAACCGCTAGTGGCCGAGAGCGCATTCATTGGCTTATCTAAGTGTCACTCAAAGAGAGCTGCGACACCCTCTCGTGCAAACCCCGTTGTATTATTGGTGGAAACGCCTGCCGTTCTGCGCATAGTCCCGCGCCTCCAACTACCTCAACCTTCGACCCGATACGCTGTCAGTCACATCCCAGAGCCCTGCCCAAGCTACTATTCCCGCCCCCTTTTCCAACGGTTCCTCACGGCTCAGTCAGCTTCCCAACCCCGAGACCACGCCCCTCTCCCCTCAGGAATTGCAAGCTTTCGGTAACGCGCTACCCATCAAGACCGTTTCTCGTGATCGCTCACCTGGAGAAAGTAACGGGCTCCCGACGACACCAACTCCCCCTCCCTGGGTTGTACCCCCTCACAGCCGCTGCTTCTGCGCAACGCCCGCCAAAATAGCCGTCCTATGCGCACGCGCCAACCCCTCCGCCCTTTCCCAGGCTCACTGCGCTACCGTGAGGCGCGCGCAGTCGTCTGCTCCGTACTACGCGACACTTTTTGACGCATGCGCACACTAGCAGGTCACGCCTCAACGTGTTCTGTAGTGTCTAGAAGCAAGTTTTTACTATTATTGTTTGCTTCCCGCCTTTCTGCCTTAGCACACACTTTTACCACCTCAAAAGCGAAGAAACCACTAAACATTAAGGTTGATAAACGTTGGATTTCGTTTCTGCCTCGACTAAAATGAACGAAGAGAAGACTAGCCAATCCCAGACCAGATGTGGTCGTTCCAGCCAATCGTGAATAAAACCCGGATGCCCAACTACTCAATCACAAAGAAACTATGTAGCAGAGGAGGATATTGCCTTGTGATTGGCAAAGAGAGAAGAAGAGGGCAAGAACACTCCCTTGCACCGAAGGGCGTGAGAAATAACTAACCAATGGAAAGCGAAGAAAGGCGGGGACAAGGAGACAAGCAGGCGAAGCCCCCTGTCTGATTTTCCAATGAGAGATGGGCGACTTGCCCTTTGTCCAATGAGAAGCAGTAAGGTGGAAACGACTAGCCAATGGGAATAGGCAAGGGGCGGGCCTTGATACTGAGGCGACGGCGCAGGAGTGAATCGCTTCCTTTCTAACTCGGTTGTAGTGGGAGGGAGCGTCATTCGTCTCGGACTAGGCCTCGTCGGTTCATCGTCGCTATCATGTCGAAGTCTGAGGTAACGATCTGACCTTGGCCTTGTTATTTGCTGGTTCTAGATCTACCTTGTAATTCTCGCTTGTAGAGTTCTGTATTTTTTTTGTCATTTGCTAATTATCCAGTTACCGGTGTGGGGTATCGCTTATTGGAAAGTATGCGCTTAAATGTCTGTTCCCATTTTTTTTTACTATGCATGTTATCTTGCTTTTTATATCTTCTTCAGCGGGTGGTTTTTAATTTTTCATTGCTCGTTGGACCTTCCTCGGGCGTTGTTTGCGGAATGCGCATGCGCGTTAGTTTCCAAAGGGCAGGCGCCATTTTTACACTGCGTGGCGTTTCCAGCAGCTCTTTGGCTGACGCCTGCGCGATGAGATGGGGGGAAATATAATGGACGCTTGCGTACTTCCCTCTTCACTTCCTTTGGAGTTTTGTGGGGGTTGGGCGTGCCACGTGCTCGCTCGCATTGTCTGTGGTGTTTCTTCAGTTCTCTTTGATATTGCGGGGTGCACCGAGACGCTTTTAGGTTACGTGATTTTTCTTGTGACTTGACGATAATGCATAATTTCATGGGAATTGTCTGTGGTGTTTCTTCAGTTCTCTTTTTGATATTGCGGGGTGCACCGAGTCGTTTTTACGTTACGTGATTTTTCTTGTGACTTGACCACAATGCATAATTTCATGGGGAAACCTACAAAACGCTGGGGTTACTCCCGCGTAAGTGTGCACATGATTTGAAGATTTTCTAACTAGAAATAGTAACTTATGTTTTTATTATGAAATACTTGTTCTGTGTGTAATGACATATAAGCATAGAAACTAAATGCTTTGCTTTCTTTTCCAGTCATTTGTCCCTTTTCTGAATATTTTACGATTGTCACTAATTTTCATGAAGCTGTGTAGCAGTCTGTTGGAATTACTCAAATATGGCTGCTGCTCAGGGTATGCCATTTTTGTGAAAGGGAACTTTACAACTGAGAAAAAAGTAGTCACATCTGTGCTCAAGGATAGTTCAATTTCTCTTTATTGATTATAGAATTATTTGAGTGAGGAAAGAAGATTATTTAAAAAAACACCACCCAAAAATCTGGGTATGCCATTTTTGTGAAAGGGAACTTTGCAACTGAGAAAAAAGTAGTCACATCTATGCTCAAGGATAGTTTAATTTCTCTTTATCGAGTCTATCTGCTTTGAGTGAGGAAGGAAGATTATTAAAAAAACACCACCAAAAAAGTGTCTTATAATTCTCTTGTTACTCATTGGTGTTTATTTTTCCAATCAAAGCAACAAAGGTAGTTACCCCTTAATTTTTACTGTGTTGAGAGACCAATATTTATTTCATTTGATTTTAGACTGCTCTGCCCCTGCTAGGGCAGGGCTCAGGGCAGTGTGTGACAGTAAATTTATGACATATGTTTTAAAAATGGTTTAAAACAAAAAAAAGCACACTAATTGCCTAAGATGACACTAAAGAATTAAGATGATACCATTTTGTGTTACAGGCTTTTATTGAAGTCTGTCTGACTACTAGTTCCCAAGGGTAGTGGGAAATGTGTATATATAGAGGTTCATTCTGATTCCATTTTGTTTACTTATGTTTTAGTCCCCGAAAGAGCCTGAACAACTTCGCAAACTGTTTATTGGTGGCCTAAGTTTTGAGACAACAGATGAAAGCCTTCGCAATCACTTTGAACAATGGGGCACACTTACAGACTGTGTGGTAAGTTAAGTGTTCAGTAGTAGCTTTACTAGAATTAGTAGTCTTTATTTTCACAAAGGGATTGGGAAATGTAGTCTCAGGACTAATAAACCAAGCATGTCATCTGGTTTCACTGATTTTTGCTGTTCCTCTTAGGTGATGAGAGACCCCAACACAAAGCGTTCCAGGGGTTTTGGATTTGTCACTTACTCCACTGTAGAAGAAGTTGACGCTGCCATGAATGCCAGGCCACACAAAGTAGATGGTAGAGTTGTTGAGCCAAAGAGGGCCGTATCCAGAGAGGTAAGAACTGCTTTCTCCTTCAAGTCTAAAAACACGTTCTAGATGTGATGTTTAAATTGCTATACTACTTTTCTCAACCTTCCTGTTTATTAGCTAACAGACTCAAAGCTTGAGTAGCTCCCTTCCAGGGGTTTTGGATTTGTCACTTACTCCACTGTAGAAGAAGTTGACGCTGCCATGAATGCCAGGCCACACAAAGTAGATGGTAGAGTTGTTGAGCCAAAGAGGGCCGTATCCAGAGAGGTAAGAACTGCTTTCTCCTTCAAGTCTAAAAGCACATTCTAGATGTGATGTTTAAAAAAAGCAATGAATTGCTATACTACTTTTCTCATCCTTCCTGTTTATTAGCTAACGGACTCAAAGCTTGAGTAGCTCCTGAATAAATATGCCTAGGATTAGGTATAGGTTAATCCTAAACAACTTTGATTACTATTTTCCCATTACCTGTTTATTAGCTAACAGACTCAAAGCTTGAGTAGCTCCCGAATAAATATGCCTAGGATTAGGTATAGGTTAATCCTAAACAACTTTGATTACAATTTGCCCATTAATTAAATAGGATTTGCTTGCAAAGAAGTCTTGTTTTATCTGCCATATTGACAGCTTGGTGGTGCATTTGCTCTTTATTGTAGGATTCTCAAAGGCCTGGAGCTCACTTAACAGTGAAAAAAATCTTTGTGGGAGGAATTAAAGAAGATACAGAAGAACACCATTTGAGGGACTACTTTGAACAGTATGGAAAAATTGAAGTGATTGAGATAATGACAGACCGTGGCAGTGGCAAAAAGAGGGGATTTGCTTTCGTTACTTTTGATGACCATGACTCTGTGGACAAGATAGTCAGTAAGTATACCAGTAGCTGTCTGTAAACACATCTTGGCTTGTTGCATTTTCTGGCTAAACATCTGCCAGCAACTTGGACACTATTTTTATCTTTTGTGTTTAGTTCAGAAATACCACACTGTGAATGGGCACAACTGTGAAGTCAGGAAAGCCTTGTCAAAGCAGGAAATGGCCAGTGCAACATCCAGCCAAAGAGGTGAGTTTCATTTCATTGGTGGGAAATAACCAAATGAAACTATGATGTAGGTTCTCTTCAGAATCACTGATGGTTGCTCTTCTTAGGTCGTAGTAGTTCTGGCAGTTTTGGTGGTGGCCGAGGAGGTGGATTCGGCAGCGGTGATAACTTCAACCGTAGCAGCAACTTCAGTAGCCGTGGTAATTACTTTCAAGTATTAATATAAGGGCGTAGAAGGGTTCGTGGGCATTTTTTGTTAGACTTTTGCTTGGTTGAGATAGTGTTTCATAGCCACTTAATCAGTATACTTTTTGTTCTAACTTGTAAAGTTGAGTGTGGCTAGCAACTACGGACCAAGGCTCATTCCCAGGATAGGGGTCAAGGAGTATACCACTGATAGGCTGGTTCCCAGTCTCTTCTCATGCCACGTTTGCCAGAGAAATAGACGTAATTTGGGGGGTAACCCCCACCTCATTAAATAGGGATATCTGAGTATGTGTGGGCATTGCGGCGGGGGGGGGGAACCCTTCAGAGTCCCAGTAGCTTTTAGGTTGCTATAGAATGACTAGTGGGGACAGGCAAGGGACTACCAGAAGAGAACTACAAGGAGTTGGGGAGGTGAGCTGAAACTGTCAGGTTGCAAGGAGAGGCCACAAGGAAGGTAAAATGGGATTTCTCCTCAGGGTCTTTATTTGTGCTTACCTGTTTCCTTGAGTTTCTGCACTGAGTTTAAATTCTGGTATTTGAGTTACGCGTCAGGAATATGATGTTAATAACGGAACCTGTTCTTCTCAGGTGGTTTTGGTGGTCGCAGTGGAGGAGGTGGCTATGGAAGTAGTGGAGACGGCTATAATGGCTTTGGCAGTGATGGTAAGTTCAAATGTCTCTGAGAAGTCTCATTCATATGCGGACCTAAAAAGCCATCCTTGGTTTGGATCCAAGGAAGAATGTCCATGGTGGGGGTAATTTTTTCCCAAAACCTCTTTTCTTGGGAGTTCGTAGTCCTTGGGAGAAATTGTTTGGGCTCCAGCTGGGTGGGCAGGAGAAAGCCATCCTCTGCTGACAAATCCCTTCCACCAGCAGAAGTTTCCAGTGGATCCAAGAACATGTCTGACCTTCCTACAGGTTATGGAGGCAGTGGCCCTGGCTACTCTGGAGGAAGCAGGGGTTATGGCAGTAGTGGTAGCTATGATGGCTATAACAATGGAGGCGGAGGAGGTTTTGGCAGTGGCAGTGGTGGTAAGTATCATCAATTTTTGTCTGCCATGATTTTTAACAAATGTATCATAGCATAATCTTTGGATATCTGGAGCTCATTTTGGGCATTTAATAGGGTGTTCCTTATTGACGTGTACATAGCAGAAGGGGGTGGTGCATTGACACTGCTAAAAATCAGTTGACACTGTACATGGATTTTAGTTAACCATCTCACTGATCCAATTTTTTAAGACTATGAAAATGATCAGAGTTAAGTCTCAAGAGACTATTATCACATATCCAGTTAAGCATATGTTCCCTATGGTCTTCAATAGTAAATGTAAGGGAGATATATCCTTATTAATCTGAGGCACTGTATTTGTGTTGAAAATTTACCACATTAGTCCCTGCAGTGGTTTTGTCAAATAAGGAATTAGATGTGAAAGCAAAAGAAATCAAAGCTTTTGTAAGTACCACCTGGCTGAATATTGTTGCTTGGACCTTTATGGTACATGCATAGCAAAAATCATTTGTTACATGTCTTTTTAAGGTTTTAGATTAACAAGATAGAAATTTAGCTCATGATCTTGATGAAGTGATTTCCTTTGACTTGTGAAAACTTTATGTAGATATTGTGTC